TCCTTGAGAAGGTTCCCACTGACTTTCTGTCTGGAAGGATTTTCAAATAGTGGTTGGCCTACAAATGGCTCCTCCATTACATGCTGTAGGATGCATTGATGGAGACTGAGTGGAGCTTTGTTAAAACCTTGTGTATTGGGCCAAAAACAAACTTCGATTTAAATGCTGCTTGGAAATCTTTCTGTATTTCAGCCAACACAACATGGAGACTGGCTGGGGCAGGGCTTAAGGAGACCTTCTTCCTGTGACTTGTGCCTACACAGAGATGTTCCTAGAGATCCCATGCAGTTCATGGTAGGGCAGCTGGGGGCCCATCCTCCTGGAGCTGGCCTCACACAGCAGCTGGGAAGAGAAGGGGAGCAGGCCTTTTTCCCACATATGAGCCATGGAACCACTAGGGTAATCAGGGCAGCTTCCATTCCCAGGGCAGCTTCAACCAAAGTAGGTATGGTCCATTCAGGTTCACAGTATGGACAAGTGAATGTTAACAGAACATAAAATGGAACTCTTCAACGCTTTCTCACATTATAGTGGGACAAGCTTATGGCCATCCAATACAATATTTTTATTTTCTTTTTCACTCAAAAATACTTATTGAGGGTCTACTATATGCCAGGTGTTCTTGATGCACATTGTTAGAACCAAGGACTGTAACACACACACACACACACACACACACACACAACCAAGTCCCCAGAAGGAACTGTATCATAGAGTGTGAGCCTTTCAGACTACATTCATCTTGTGATTGTCTTATTTCCCAAAGTCAAGGAGGTTTACATGCCAGGGGCAGGCATTTTGCTAAGAGAGAATGTTTACAAAACTGGAAGAGCACTGCTCCTCCTGATACACATACACACACACACACACACACACACACACATATTTAACAAGAGCAAATAAAGGCAAAGTAGCCAGAGCTACTGTGAATGCATTACCCAGAGCTAAAGAAATGCATTAGGTAACGACTGTGAATGCTTTAGCTAGAGCTAAAGAAATGCATTAGGTAACAACTCTATGCTTGGAACTCTGAGCAAGTGCAGAGTGAGACCAAGAATTCCTCTCATTTGGGAACTCCTCCTTAAATGAGGAAGGGACTGCCTGATATGAATTGGTGGGGCTGGCACTGGACCTGGGGGATTCCTGAAGATACAGAAAAGGAGACACACAATTCCAGTACTAGAAAACACCAAAAGGAGCCTGGACAAATGAAGATTCCCATAGCGACTCCTGGATATTGGTCTGATCATTGTCTTAATGGGAAAAAATAATCAATAATTGCAGTCACCAACTGACTGTGCGAGGAGTCTTTCCATTGCCCTTCTGCAACAGAAGGAAAGAGATGAGCTCTGTCTCTGCGATGGAGTTAAAGCACGGAGGTGAATGTGAGAGCCACTGCAAGAAGCCAACCACATTTGCCAATAGCAGTGTTGCTGTGTGAAATTGTCATTCCATCTCCTTCTCAGCATGAACACAATCCATGGGAATGAGTAAGAATCTGCAGCCACAGCCAGTGTTGGGAGATCCTTTCCAGACCCCATTCAGGCTCACACACAGCTTGACTGTCTGTGGTCACACATTTAAATTTTACTTTATTCACATTTCTTTTTCTGTTTTGTGGTACTGGGAATTGAATCTAAGGCCTAGAATGTGCCAAGCAAGCAGTCTAGCACTGAACTACATCCCCAGCTCTTTTTACTTTATTTTATTTTGAGTCAAGTTCTCACTAAGTTGCCCAGGCTGACCTTAAACTTATGATCTTTCTGCCTCAGCCTCTTGAGTAGCTGGGATTATAGATGTTCATCACCACACCTGGCCCTTTATTCACATTTTGCCTCCCAGGATAGACTGAAAAATCTTTGAAGGCCGAGAGTGTCCCTTGAAAATTAGCAATGCCCACCACTTCATAATATAACAAAATATATGCCAGGTGTGGTGGTGCATGCCTGTAATCCCAGCACTCAGGAGGCTGAGGCAGGACGATCACTATGAGTTCAAGGCCAGTCTGAACTGCATATGAGGAGGAGGAGGAGGAGGAGGAGGAGGAAGAAACAAAATATATAGTAGTAGGGCATTAAATCACTGAATGAATCAGAAAGAAGGGCTGAAGATAAATAGGATAGTTTCTAACATGTGCTAAGCATCCACAGTGTGTGAAAATACAATGGGTTTGTTTGTTGTTCACTCATTCAATCTCTCATTCATTCAAACATTCAGGGAGTGTCCAGTACATTAGGTCAGTAGAGAAGTCACTCACTTCTTCTGGTAAGAAAACTAGCCGCAAGATGCTCAGGGAATAGACCCTCTGCCCTAATAGCCCCATTTGTGTTCGTCTGCTCTGTCTCCTTCCTGGTTGTTACGACACTTTTGGTTTAGAAGGAAAAAGATGAAACAAAGTTCACACAAAGTTTATTGTGCCTGTTTGTGTGTTTCCCCAGAGCTTACACTTAGCAATCCTCAGGAGAGAACTTTGGCTGAACCTGCTGAACTGGAGGAAAAGAATTAGGAACATCTGGGGTCTGTTGACCAGAAAAATTCCCTGTGGTCTGACACATGAGCATTTCCCACCCAGCCGTTCTCATCAGAGAACCGAAACTCACTTTCAATCAGCTCAGCTGCTGTTTCTGGCTGTTTACCCCATGTGGCCAAATAATATGCTTTTGTGTTGACTCTTCAGATTTAATATATAAGCTCTTGACTTCCTCCTCAGAAAGGTAAGGATTTAGCACTTTTGTTCTGTCCCATTCTTCCAGTGTAATTATATCATTTTTTTGGTTAAATCAATATTCTGTTAACACTATGGTGATTATTGTAAATATTTTTCCCAGCTAAGGCATACAGTACACTGATAATATCGCCTTTGTCACACAACTTTTTTTTCTCTTTGAAGTTCAAAAGTGTTCTGTTTTGATTTATACCTATAATTCTCTTCCAACTTGTTGCCAGAGCTATGAATCTCTTCAGACTTCAAACACATCAAGTAATCTACTGATTTTTTAAAATTTTTTAACACTTTCCACCTGGAGCCCCCTGGTCTCCCACTCCTTAGCTGCGTCCCTATTTCCTGAGCCCTGTATTCTCCTTTTTCCTGCATTTGGCTACTTAGATGGTGGAGTAAGCTCTCTAGTACCTCTCCAACAAAGTGTGCTTGGCTTCTATTGAATTTTTCCTTGTTTGTACATTTTAAAAAATGAAGATCCATTTTTGTTCTGTAAATAGCTTGTTCTTTTTCATGGGTGTAGTTGTATTCTCTCTCTGAAGGTATTGTTGCTTTCTTGAAAGTATATTCTAGTCTTTACAGTGCTTTTGGGTTTCCTCTGAATTTCCATGTTTGATTACAATTCCCAGTAGTCATTATAACTTAGTTCTTTGTGGAATGCAGTTTTCCTGGAGAAAGGACATCCAGCTTGCTTCCCCAGGGATCTAAGCTGGGTCACTTGGACTCCCCAGTATGTTTTCTGTTGGAGGTACCTGGTTGGTGGAGTGCGAAATGGTCTAGGATCAACCTGTGTTCAGTTTAGTTTCCATCAACACACCACCTCCTGAGATGTTCCTGGTGCCTCCAATCCTGCATTGCTGTCAGTGGTCCTGTGGGCCCAACCTGTGAGCTTTCTGCCTCCTCTCCTACCGAGTGCCTGGTCTCTAGGTCACCCATCCCCTGACACCTGGTTTCCACTTTCCAACATTTTCTTTGTATCTCTGCACTCTCATTGCTTTTTAAAAACGTTGGCCTTGAGGTTCTGTTTTGTTTTATTTATTTTGCCTGTAACAAAATCTCTATACTGAGGTGAATTTGGGGAAAGGAAAGGAGGCAAAGGACAGTTGTCAATCCATCAGGTTTGCTCGGATAGCTTCTCCATCTTTATCCAGTGGAAAAAAAGTACTTTAAACAGATTTGATGGGAATTCCATCCATTTTGAGAAGGTGGCTGAATCTTAGGTCTCTAGGCCCAGTTCATCACCCTTACTGAGCTGGTGTCTGTCGTGTATACAGTGAACAATTATATTTGTGAATTCTTTACATGAATAAATGAAGCAGGTGTTCTCTGTAGACTCTCAGAAGGAGAGCCCAGCAAGCTCCTCGACCTCAGGAGCAGCGGGATCACTGAAGGAGCTTCCAAAATTACAGATTTCTGGGGATCACTATAGAGCTAACAATACTAATCTCAGGAACTGGATCCTGGGTAAATGCATGTTTGCCAAGTAACTACCCACATCTAGCCTTCTAGTTACATGAGAAAAATAAACCTCTAGTTTCAAAGGCAGCGTTAGTCCTATTTTTGTTGCCTGCAGCTAAAGGCAACCCCTGTAGATAGGCAAGGCTGAGAGTCCAAGGTACTAAAGTGTCCACTGGGGAGCAGATAGCTCAGGGCAAACCTCTCTAGAAATAAGCAGCCAGCTGGGGGCCTCCAGGTGGTGATGATGGGGTGCGGGAAGTGTTGGCCATTCCTCTCATCTCCTAGGTGATCTGTGGTACTTGCTCTTTGTGCTTGTGCCCCAAAACTCAGTTTTTGGTTCTCAAATCCTAGTTTAGAATCACAAAGGTTAACATCAATTACTTTTGGCTTTCTTCAATCCCTGCCTATCAACTGTTGTCTTTCACGAGGCCACTTGGTCATTGCACAAGGAAGTGGGCAAAGAAAACCCCACAGATTAATAACTGAAGATAGTAAATATCTTCCACATTTATTAACAACAGTCTGCTCATTGTTGCTGGCCTACCCTAGCCTTACCTTCAGCAGGAGAGGTGGGTTTACCCTCTGAATGCTGAAGACAGATCTTGGGGAATCCCCAGAGATGGAGAACAGGGAGCCTCGGGTAGAGGAGTGGCTCGAGCCTAAGGGCGTCTCCTGAGGACTAAGGAAGAACACAGATGGGGATTTCTTCCTGGAAGCAGGGGTCAATTCAGTGCTAAATACCCAAGTCAGAGAAGCAGCAGGAAAGAAGACAGCTCAAGGGGATGCAGCACAAGGACAGGGGAGTAAGTAGAGCTCATGGATGGTTCTGAGCTGCTCTTTTAAGAAGTCTCAAAAGGCAGCCAGAAGGGAGAGTCAAGGTTCTGGACAAGCTTAGGGAATCAGAAATATTTTTGGCCATTTTGGAAAATTCAGTCCACCACTATAAGATCTACCTTTGGAAGGCTTGGGTCTGGGATGCAGGAAGGATTCAAAAGGAAGAGATGACTGTAACGCCTGGCCCTGAAACTGTTCACCCTCAAGGCATTTCCCATCTGATTCCATTGGTTTCTGGACAGTGAGTCACACATTGCGGGTAAAAGCTGTTTCGAGACTCGTTCTTCTCTGTCTTCCTCTCTGTCCTCTGTTGCCCCTCACTTATTCCCTCACCTCCGCCTTCTGCACAGGACATCCCCTTTGGAGTCCCACAGTGTCCTATGCGCATCCCTCTCCTTGGGCTTACTATTCCCAACTGTAATATTCTGGCTATTGCCCATTGCTGGTACTTCCTTCTCCTTTTTCTCATGTTTTTGTGACTGGCTAACTTTTCTCCTGGGTGACACATTGTCTCTAAGGGGTTTAATGCATTCAAGTTTTCTTGGCTTGGGAACCACCGATCTTTTCAAGGTGCATTCAAGGTGACTTTAGTGCAGTTCTGATTTGGTAAGTGTTATTTTTATGGGTTGGCAGTGGGCCTGGGAGAGATGATTTTGTTTGCACTGGTGCAGGTTTTTGGCTCCTCATACACTAAACTCATGTATTCATTTACTACTGATGTAGGGGTGACTCATATAAAATGGAAGTAAAAAGCTGAGTTACTTGGGAGCTTGACAATGGAATACTTGAAACCACCATTTGGTGCCACTTTGCCGATATTCCTTCTCCCTTTCCATCTTCCTGAGCAGCAATACTGCACCCCCAGACACTGCATCAGCTCTTTGCCTCAATGCTGGGTCAAGTCAATCCACTTTCCTGAAAGAAAATTCCAGTAGAATAAAATAAGCAGGTAAAGCCACTGCTTTACACCTAGTAAGGGAATGACTGAAAGCCAGCTGTAATAAAAACAATGGTAATATTAATATTAAGCATATTAATATTAGTGCTTGCAAGCACCAGGAAAAGCTGTTTGTGCCTTTGTCTTGTTTGTGCTCTATTATCTATTGGTTATTACCATCCTCTTCCTTAGGGGAAGGAGTGGTATCTGCTCTTTGGATTCAGGCAAAGCATGGTTTTTAACACCCAGATTCTTGCTCTTAAACCATGAGAGGGGTTGTAAATCATGACTGAACAGTAGTAAGTAGTAGTATCCTCTAGGCACTGAAAATGTGAAATGAGATGCCCACATTGATACTCTGAAGAGAATACTCATATTCATGAATGTTACTTCTTGTATTTACAAATTACTTCATTTCACATCACAGGAAAATGTTTTCCTTGATTCAGTCAAAGAAAATTCTGTGGTATGTGAACCAGTTATGTAGTTTGTTGAAAGTTCTCCTTATTAACCACGAGACAATAATAGGATGTCTCTTTTCTATTTTTCTGAAGTATGTTTCTCTTTTTCATTTACTAGATCACACATGAAATATTTGAATTAATCATACAAATTATTTTTTTCCCAAATGACCAAAATCCTTTGCTTTTATTGTACGAGTTGAGACATCCAGAAATATATCAAGAAATATTGGTTGTAACAAAATTTCCTCCTGTAATCACCAAAGATTTTTGTTTTTGTTTTTTGAGACAGGGTCTCGCTATATAGTTCAGGCCTTAAACTCACTATGTAGCCCAGGCTGGCCTCGAACAAGGCGATCCTCCTTCCTCAGCCTCCCAAGTGCTGGGATTACAGGCATGTACCACTATGCCCGGCAGTGTAATCACCAAAGAAACAAATCATATTTCAACTCCCAACACCAGTGTGTCCTTTCTCAGAAGTAATACAGCATTTTTATTCATGTGTAGGAGTCTCCTCCATCCCAGTGGAGAGAGTTAATGATCCTCCTGAAACAGTAGCTCTTGGAGCAGAAATTACTGATAACACAGTAGAACTGTCATGTGTTCCTCGACAGGAGGAAATCAGCATTTTAAAATCCTCTAGGAGGATGGTGGTGTGCACAATCTGGGAGGCTGAGGCAGGAGGACTGCAAATTCAAGCCCACCCCAAGCAACTTAGTAACTTAGCAAGACTTTGTTTCAAAAAAAAATTTTTTTTTAAAAGGCCATGGATGTAGCTCAGTGGAAAGACCCTGAGTTCAATTCCAGTGTTTCAAAAAATTATCTATAGATTGACAATCCTTAGGAGCACTTTGGAACACTTTAGAGAAGTCTGGAACACTTTGCTCTTCTAAGTTTCTGACAAGGATTCCTAAGGGCCAGTTACCAAGGTGCACCTCCCTATGTCTTTTTTATTTTTGGTACTGGGAATCGAACTCGGGACCTTGCGCTTGCGAGGCAGGCTAAATCCCTGGCCCTATGTCTTTTCATTTAACAGGACCAGAGTTGCAGGGTCAAGCTTGGGATAGGCCATGGGTGACTTGCTGATGGCAATCAGAAATCATTTAGAGAAATGCAAGCATATTGCACCAGTCATACTAAAGGATTCAATAGTGCAAACACATAGTCGTTTAAGTAAAGTGCCCAGAAGACTTTTCTAGAAGTCTCACTGAGCAAGAGATCTCATGGGTTGGATGTAGCTCACCATCAAGCTGCTGCCCCTGCCTGAGTCCCAGAGACAACTTCATGGCCAAATAGGATTGAAGTGAGGCAGGTGCTTTGTGATAATGAGATCAGAATTAGATCAGTGAGTGAATTTCTCTCAGTGGACTTTAGATCTACCAGTTTTTGTAAAACTATTTGTATTTTGAAGTTAGTATCACTGAGTGGATAAGGATATGGGGTTATGACTGGCAGCTTTCATTGGATTGAGCCCCTGGTCTCTATAAAGTGCCCCCCTTCATGGTTGGTAATGCTTCTTACCTTACATTGTCGTATTAAAATAGCTACACAAGTTTTCTTGTGATGAATATTTGCATGGCAATTGTTCACCCTCACTTTTAATTGTTTTCTGTCTTCCCACATTTAAAATGTGTATATTATATGTGGCACAAGTTTTTATTCAGGATTACACTCTTAGCTTTGTACTTTGGGTATTTAGCCAACTTGTACTAATTACTGATGTATGTGGGTTTATATCTACTTTCTATGACTTCTCAATTTTGATCCTCCTACTTTTTTCTTATCTTCTTTTCTATTACTTCTGTTTTACTCAACTTGTTATAGTCTGCTTTATTATCTGCCTCCACGTATTCACTGGTTATTCTGGCTTTGTACAGACTCAGGCATTACCTGTAGTTGTGGGTTCCACAGACTGAAGAAAAGGAGAAGCCTCTCCCGGTGCTCCAGTGAACAATAAAGGGATTACACTTAGAAATTAGTGGGCTGGATAGACTAAGAGAGAGAAAAATTTGAATCAGGCAATTCTTTGAAGGGGTCCATGCAATACATAGTTATAACAGAAGGGAGTATAAGTGGAAACAAACACAGAAGAGAGAAGTGAGATCATACATTCTAATTATAGTGAAAGTTCCTTGGCTCCAAATGGAGCAAGGTTTACCAATTTTAATACATTTCTATTCTTTGAGAAGTAGTCATGCCATTAATATTTTGAAGTAAAAATTAAGCAGCACTAATTATTTCGTTGCTTAATTTCTTGTAGTATCTTGGGCAGTTTTAGTAAAAGAAACAGGTTATTATCTACAAACCTTATTGTCATCCCTCTTCCTGGCTTTCCCTGTGATTGAAAGGAAGAGTTACCGTTTCTGTTTCTAAATCTGACACTGCTAATTCCCTATCTCTATCCCTGACTGTTCTCTGGAATATTTCCTCCATATGCTTTGACATCTTTGCTATTGCTCCACTGGTCTCTCCTGAGGATAAATCCCTTTTGTCATTCCTATCCCTGTAGTTATATTTAATCTATTGTATCACATTTCTAAGAGGTTTGTACCCGCCACTTCTATTTCTTTTTTCATTTTAATATTTTTCCCTTTAGTTTCATTGGGTCATTTCAAAAGGAAAAAAAAAGCACAAAAGGAGCTTATTTGTTTTAAATTTTATCATCCACTCATTTCCTCATGGATATATTTATTATCTAGGATATTTTCAGCTACATGTAAAAAGAAATCTATCTAAAAGTGGCTTAAATAATGCAACATCACAAGAGACCTGAGACAGGGCTGTTCTAGGACTGGTGAAATATTCAACAATAATATCCAAGACTCAAGCTCTTATCTTATTCCAATTCTTGTTATATTGGATTTATCCGAAGCCTTGTTTCTTTGTGGTTGCAAGGTGGTCATAACTCCAGGCATCACACTTCATACAATTATGCTCAAGGGCAACAAAAAGAGCAGTTTCTTCTCACATAGCTCTTTTAATCAGGAGGATAAGCATTTCAAAAAGCTCCTTATCAGATTTATATGGGGCCATTACTCAAAATAATGTCATATGTCCTAGCTGCAAAGGAGTCTGGGAATATGAATGTGTGATATTTTAACTCTCAGTGGTACAAGATGGCTCTGTCAGTGAGCAAGTAGCATTTGGCACGTTACGGTTCATAGTAGGAAATCAGTAGTGTTGACCTCAGATAACTCCTTTTTTGCTTCTGGTCTTGTGCTCCAGGTCCATGTAACCAATCACTACTGAAAATTTCCACTTGGGCGACACACAGGTTTCTCAAGTGTTATTTCCCCTCCTTACTATCTCCTGTTCCCAGCTCTTCTCTGTATTCCATTTCAGCACCACTACGTGCTTGCCAAAGCAAGAGTTTAGGTATCAATTTTGACTCTTCCCTTTCTCTCACCCTCTCTCATTACCCTGTCTAATTGCCTTTATGTCCTAAAGCACCCTCCAAGACATCTACATCTCTCCATCCTCACTTCCCCCATGCTGTCTTGCTCATTGCTGAACCACCAACCAGTGCTGAACATAGCAAAGCAGTAGCTCAATTTGCCCATGCAACAAATGTCCACCATTCATGGAAAACAGGCATTTTAAGATAAGCAATGAATATGCTCTCTCTATACACATTAGCCATTTCCAGATTCTGAAGGGGTTAACTGGGGCTTGGGGGTGGGGTGGGGGAAGGCCATGTGCAGTAGGAGGAGTATAAACAGAAGAGGACCATTAAGGGCATAAAGGGTGTTAACTCATGGTCTCCTCTCCTTATGCTCCAGTTGTGTCAGGAGACAGAGGCTGCCGTCCCTGCAAGTCATAACTGAAGTGAATAAAACTGAAAGCCAATTTTTGATTCCCAAATGTTTTAGCTATCTAGACTTTCCAGTGGACTTGATGGAGCAGAGTAATGCAAAAAAGCAGGCCCTCCAGCCCCAGGGTTTTATAGTACCTATAAAACATGTTTTACAGTTTCTGCTCAATTTTATGCTGTTAAGCTAAACATCTGACATCATATGGCACTTTAAGCATGTTGATTTATAGTAAGGCAGCAATTGCATCTGTAATAAAAAGTCCAAAATATGGGTTTTAAAAGTAATCTACTGTATTTATTATTGACATAAACAGTTACCTGCAGTTCATTTGAACAACATCTTAGATTTAACTCATGTATTAAAGATATTATGATTCCCACTCAGCAAGGTCACCAC